ATGTACTAATCTTGCCCTGAATATTGTAATGAAAATATTTCCTATGAAATGTTTATAGCGGATGTGTACAGTATTTCACTCTTGTTGTTTGAGAACATACACTCTCCAAAGCAAATATAATTCTTGTAAAGTAGAATATATGGAAAATATAAAATTTTATTATATATAATATCTTTGTGTCGAGGGAATTTCCAAATTATAATGTAAGAGTTTTAATGTTATGTTACCTATATGACAAAATCATATATAGAGGTTAGGGAATAAAAAATATTTTCTCAATATATGTCTTGAAAGTAGAAATTAAATATATGTATGTTTGACAAATTGACAAAATTCTTAATATAATATATGTAAATAAAATAAGTGGTAATATAAACTTGTTAACAGTAGAAATACTAAAGCACGTTACAAATTAAGAATATAAATATTTGAAGTTGTTTTATGATAATAGTTATAATGGTGCACAGGATAGTGAAAGTGTTAAATTGGCAGCGGTGATATATGTGAATAATAGACTTAATATTTTAGTAGCATTTTTGAAATGCGATAGGCCAGAAAAATTAATGAAATTTGTTTATTTTTTCGTATTCTCATATTGCCACTCGATATTTAGCATTGGCAGTTTTTATTTTTATACTTTAATTTTTGTTTTTTTTTTAATATTAATAAATATTTAGGTACTTAAATATTGCACTTACTCAAGAGGCTTATGTCCAAGACAAATCTGCGTAGGGTGTGCCAAGGTATCACGAAAAGGCTTTTTAAGTTCATGTTTTTTCGATATACTTAAAATAAAAATTCTACACTTTTTGAGACCGAATTTCTACATTACTCAAGCTACTCAAGTTGTCCCGAGTATTTTCTGGGACGGTGTTTGTTTCGATAGTTGTTCAATTGGTCTAGTTTCATGTCGCACTTCGTCTCTCTTGATGTATCTTTAATAATGAGCAATATTGTTAAAAATGTACAGATATATAATAGTATTTTTTTTATAGAATCATAACGAATTTACTCTGTCAATAAGAATTTAAGTTTTTGGAATCTACAAAAATGAAAGGAAATACGAGTATTTGTCATTTCTTAATGTAGCGCTAAAAATTAAAAATATGTAAATATTTTTTTATCATCGAAAATAATCTTTTAAAAAAAATAGTTATTGCAGTATCTTCAAACTTATAGAAATACTGGTGCCTCTTGCCTTGAAGGTATTGTCTTATCGAAACTTCAAAATATTCTAATTGTTACAAGTTGGGTGTTATAAACGTATTTTTATAAATATTTATGCCATATACAGAGGAACAGAATACGAAAGAAAAAGTTAAAATTTGTATCTGTCTTTATCTGTATAAATACTATGATATTGTCGAATTTCATTTGTGATTATAACTAAATATTTAAAAAAAATGTTTTAATCTAAAATGATAAAGATGTATAAATATTAAACGAAAATGCCATATTAAAATTCGTATATCAAAATATACAAAATATATTTTCTAAAATATCAATTAAAAAAGAGCCAAACCTTTACTCATTAAATTGCTCATTTGCACTTAAAACATTTTAAAATGAAAGCAGAGTTTTGTTACTTATTCATTAAAACTTATTGTTGATACTTAACTAAATCCAGAAAAGATAAAGATTATTTTTATAACTAATAGTATCTGTGAGGTAACCTCATTGATATTTTTATTTCTATACATAACTATGTGTATGTTTAAAGTTTTTTCATTAAAATAAGACGCAATTCTATTTTTTAATAAAATTAAACACTAACATGTGTTAGGCGACTCTGCATAGTTATAATACTTGTACATTTTATCGACACGTCATGTATTTAGGGATGCAAAATTATAATATATATTGTCTAGCACAATTCTGCAAACATGGAAGTAGAAATTAATAAAATTATTGTATAGATAGCATTTTCACAGTAAGTTTTCTATTGTCCGAATACCTGTGCAATTAATGATTTGTTAAAAAAATATGTTTATTTTTTTGTTTTTTCAAAGAGAATGGATTTTCTTAAGAAGAAAATGTGTTGAGCTTCGTTAACCAATTTTGTACAACCACCCGAACATAGGTATCAAGTGAAAGGGCTTGACGAGTACACTACGAAAAAATTCAAGATGGCCGCAATCACAAAATGACCAAATATATTTTGATTACTAATAGAACAGCGTTGCAAAGTCCAGTTTAAAACATTAACTAAAAACTCAAGAATTGGTCTACTAAAGTAGGACTTGACCTAAAAAATACGTGTTAAATATTACTTGTTGTCCCATCAATTTGGGCGACCAGTCTTTTAAACGACCTACCGCACTCTGGTTGCTGCTATAAAAACTACGTGATACATAACTCTTGCTTATATCAGTGTGGTTTTCAATTTACCATGTCAATGATATGGTTTCTGTACAAGTGTTCCATCAGTGTATGTGAAGCAAACAACGTAAGTTTTCCTTCTCGATGTATTGAATTCTGGAATTTCCTAGTTTGTTATTCTTATAACAGAGGCATGGCCATTTGTGGTCCGTGCAAGAGATAATTCACCACTAAATAAGGAATGTGCGTGAGTGATCGTTTATTGTGATTAAAGTTCTCTAAAATTTGATTAGATATTTGCGTGTCCCTAAAGAAACAAAGGAATTCGTATGAACAATGTTACTGTGTCTAATTTAATAAATTACGTATTTTAAATGTAATGCTGAAATTCTATGTGTAATGTGTAAAATTCAAATAAATTATTAAATGTTACATGTGAGTGTTGGCATTGTCAGATATCGAATCTATAGTATGTTCTTTGTAGGTGCCATTTCCATAGTTGTGCCATTCGACTACTGTTACTACAATATAAATGTACGTCTTAAAACATGAAATTTTGAAAACTTATAAAACACGTTGTAGAAATTGAGAAATATGTGTGTTAAATTTAAATAAACGTATTAATTAACAATGGCAGTTTCTTACCCTTATCCAACGCATTGGTAAAACGCACGTCGCTTTCCGCTTATAATAGAGCCAGTTATTTTATAATCTACCATACCATCATAAATCCTTGTACATCATTTGTATAGGTTCAACAGCGGCATTAGATGTTCCACAAATGGCCTGTTCAACCGATGCCACGACCACACTGAAGACAGGCGTGAAGTGGAAGTGATTCCACATTTTGTCGGACAAGCGTTGCGCCCCATGCCTAATTCTATTGATATTTATCAAAACAATAAATTGACCGGTGTTGCCATAACTTACATTTTCAAAGAACCTAAATTATGGAAATCATGTTACTATAAAATGAATTTAATATATTTACGAGAAAGTAAAAAAGGATATTTATCAATCACCATTTCTGCTTCGGGAAAAACTTATATTAATGATCGAAGGGCTAAGTTGCTAGGACCTTACCACAAACTGCCTAGTGGTTCTTGGTATCATTAAAAATGAATAGAAAGTTATTAATTGTAATGTTTTATACATGCCACATAGTACATATTACATAAGATCTATTAGATTAACATTATATATTCAACGTTTAGTACAAACACAGTTTTCACTACACCATGCTTGTGAATAGGCTTCGCCCATCGGGCTAATTATTGCCTTCGTTACGTCCGAATTACATTTGACAATATGTTAATAGAGGATTGTCAATTATTTATATATAATATACAAACATTAAAAGATACAATTATTTTTTCATATAAAAGTGACATCTTCAATACTGTGATAATTAAAAAAAGTGTTTAGAATACATAATTCGAATATTTAATAAGAATGGGGATATTGTTATTTAACTATACATAAAATTGAGGCGAAGCGGAATGTCGCTCAGCGGCGGGATTTAGCAGTAACGGACACAAGCATTTATCTTACGATGTATGTGACATCTGCAGCGATGTCGCCATATTCAACGTCCGAACAATTTCGTCAGTCGAAACGTCAGTTGGAGAGTTCTGTTACGACCTACCTACAGTTAGTCCGGCCTGAGTCGGTGGATACACTTTATACGATGTCGCGATCTTTAATCACAATTATTAACACATTCGTCACTACAATTTTTTCGAGTGAACTTGACAAACAAGATCGCTGCAATGAACGTGTTAAAAAAATTAAAATGTAATACCGTTTATAACTTTAAAATGATTTTGATTCATGATCTGTGAATTTTGTCAAAATTAAAAGTAAAAAAATTCACATTTGTTATACACGGCATGGTGTTATAAATGTTTACACTTAATTATTCATTACTTATATTACAAATAAATCATAATTTCATTTAGCAGCAAAAGATTAATTGACAAAAATTTAATTAAATATTTGCGCCTCACAAATTTGCAATTCCGCATTTGCATATATTGCGAGACCAAAACTAAAATATTAATTAAAAAAAACAGTCAAAGTGTAAGAGTATGATAGAGTCTACCATAATTGTGCTGCTTACATTTGAAGCAGCTTCTAAATACTTAACTATATTTTGTATAATTAACATTTCATACGAATATTATCAACTCGACACACGCGGCTTGTAACTTAATTAACTTATTTGTGTGCGTTTGTGTTAAATTATATCGTGCACGACAACCAAATTGCAGATTTTCACAATCTTAATTTCTTTTTATAAAATAAAACTGCAATGTCTTCCCATTTTTTAGATAATGTAGACGCTTGCATTCTTAGTGTTTCCAGTGCATTCTAATTCTTTTCGAAGACATCAATAATTTCGAAACACCTTCCAAAGTTACTTCTTTTTATGGAGGAAAGATTCTCTTCGTAAACTTCGAAACTTCGTAAATTTGTATTATTTAATGTCTAAAATTTAAATGTTAAGACTGTCGATTTTTTAATGGATTTAAAATCAAAGTGCTAACTTAGAGACTAACGTCCGAATTAATTTATATATTACACAAACACACACAAACTAACTATATACTAAAATTTATCTAATGAGATTAAGCTCATAATAGTTTAAATTACATAATTGAATAAAATTATTACAATTCATTTCATATTATACCTGTAAATATTTTATAAATGATATTATTAAAAATGTTAGTAATAACAACTAATTTGTGCAAACGCACGGACACAATTTGATTCTTTTTCCAAACTTTAACTTATCAATTACACAAATAAAAACAATAAAATTTGCTATTATGTCACAGGTAAAAGTGCTATGTTATAAAACAAATATAGGCAGTAAAGGCATTTTCTGTAAAGGTCTTATTTGGTACGAGCAGTAATATTTCGTAAAGTCTTTTTGTATTAGTGGAATATATAGGACAAAGTAGCATTACATACTAGAGTATTTCCATTAGATAGGACGACGTGGATTATTTACGTCGATATAAAAAATAATTAGTTAAATTCAAATGTAAAATTATAAAATGTAACTGGCTCTCGAAATGTCTTATCAATAAAAACCTACATATTTACATAAATTATCATTCAACAATTATATTGTTATATTCATTAAACATTATATTGGTGTTTTCGTTTAATATTAAATATGCCTTAAATTTAACCATAAATATTGATTAGGATATTATTATTATGTTGTATCAAATGTGTGATGACTATTGTGATGAAATGATGCGCAATGTCAATTACAAAATAGACCCGTAATTTGAATCCATAGTTATTTACCATTTATATACATATTACACGGGCAAGGTAATTTAATCTTGTTAAAACTTTTCTCAAACTGTGACGCAGGTTTTATAGGTCTCCTTTGTATTTTAGTTAAGACCACGATGGAGATGTATTTAAAACAACAAAAACAATATAATCACGCCCGTGATATAGAGTGGTAGGCAGAGATTACGGACCTCCACTTGACACGGTCCTGGCACATCTCTTTAAGCCTTCAACATTCTTAAGTCACTGTTCTTAAATCAAATGCTTGTCCGTCTCAGGTCTTTCTTAAGTCAATTTAATTCCCCAACAATATTTCTTAAATGTAATATTCCGTCTACCAAAATGCTCTCTAATGCAACTCCCAGGCTGAGCAGTCGAATCATGCCAGGCAAAAGCTTCTAGCAAGGCTCCCTCACCACGTTCGGTCTTCTCATTTGCTTCCAGTATCTCGTTCTATCTGGTTAAAAGAGATCTTATGCTATAAATAATATATGGGAGCTCCAAATTTGACGATGCATTAAAGCTGAATTACGAAATCTTTTTCCTTTCCAAATTGCTGATAAAAATATAACACAAACCAATACGTCTAGTGTTTCACATATGAGTATATAAAGATGCCGACGAGTAGAAAGCCAAAGGTAAGAGTAACTGGCTTGAATAGAGACCTCCTTATAGCATTCCACTGATCTGACGACCTTCTTGCGTGTCGCTTTTTGGCCGGCGCATCCTCGGACGGCTCGCTGGTGTTCCGCCGTCGCAGCGTGCTCCTCGGCTCACTGCTAATGAACACAAACAGTGACCTCATAAAGATGCCGATTAGATAGTACAGTTTAAGTAACAATAACCAATAGTTCTTTGTTTGGAATAATATGAAATATACAAATGGAAAGAAATAAAAAACATTTGATGATTCCTAATGATTTTAGAATAACATGTAGGTACCTCTCTGTTGGCACGGTGACATCATTATCTTCTTCCTCAGGTGGGGTGACTTTTTCTTCATCCTGGGTTGGTACGGTTATGGTGTCATCATCGGAGCTTGACCATTCCGAAATCAATGCATGAATCATATTTCCTGGAGGTATTGAAAAGGAATAATTTGAGTATTACTGTGAGATTTATTACTAATTTTTTATTTATTATGTTAAACTTACCGAGGGAAGCGCTGGCCGGTATAGCTGGCAGTGGTCGCGCCGGAGCTTTGCCGAGGCTCTCACCTCGCGGCGGAGGCAACGGCGCTGTCTCCTCTTCGACTTCAACAACCTCGGAGTAAATATTCTCATCCAATATGTGTTTTTGTTGCTATAACAAATAAACACATTTTCACCAACATTGCATGATCAGTCTATGTTTTCTTACAAAAACCGTTGACAAATTTGACATCATCTATGGTCAGTGTCACCTTTATAATTATTCAAACGATAATTGTACTATGTTCCTCAAATTCTATATCTAATACAGACCAAACCTATATAGTCATATTTATAGTAAAAACTCACCAGTTTCTTATTGCCTTCAATAATTGCACGATATGCAAAGCGCAACTGATCAGCTGTCTGGATCAAGCCCATTCGGCTCTTCCTCATTTCCAAAACTATTTGCTGAATATCAATATACTTCTGTCCTTCTTTTTCTATCTGCAAATAAAATAAAATTCTTATATATCTCAATAAACTTAATAATAGGAAAATGAGAACATCTATCACCTATAATATACTGAGATGGCTATTTTGGTTCATTTTATTCTGAAGCCTTTCGTCACATTTGGTGCACAACTATATAAATGGTTTAATAATCATCAATCAATATCTATAAAAGTGTACTCACTATAGAAAGACATGCGTCAACTAGGCAGAATGTTCCGGATCGTCCAATGCCTGCACTGCAGTGGACAATAGGCGGACCAACTTCAGCATCCAAGGCGCCTGACTTTTGTACAGTAAGTAAAAAGTCAAGGAATGCCATTGGTGAAGACGGCACTCCAAAGTCAGGCCAAGTTATGTAGTGGTAATGTGAAACTAGTCGATATTCCAAAGTATCCATGTCCACAATTCTAAAATATATCAGCATAAGTTATAGGTAAGTACAATAATAAAGAAAGTTATATATTTCATAAGTAATTATCATTAAAAAATTATTAACTTATTGAATTTTAATATGTCTTAATGCTTCTTATGAATTGTGACTTACTTAAACAATCTTGTGAAGTAACCGGGATTTTCTGTCTCACTTATCTGTTCTACTGTTAATTTCACTTCATTAAGCACCAATTTAAACTCTTCGCCAGTCCCTTGGGGCCAATAATAGAAGCATTTACACTCATTTTTTTCAATGATTTTGTTTAACATTACTATACCGCGACTATTTTGCTCCCAAACCATCAACCAGAAGTGTCCAACAGTAGAGCCGAGAGGTCCTTGTGTTAATATATACTTCTTATCTGCACGATCCACCTGCAACAAACAGTATTAACTATAGACTTCATCATGCTGTGCTACATTGTAGTAAACATTGCTTTTTAAAATTGTATATTGTCTTTATTGAAATGATTTATGCTAGCTATTGTTATATAATTATGCGTAAATATCTGAGCTAATAATACAAACTACTATAAACATATAAGGTCAGTTGCTAACATAGGAAGATAGTACACACAAGGGATGGTCACCATCCATTAGTGGATTGCATTATGACCTTGTTAACTTGATGCACTGCTCAGTGCATTATATCAAACTAGCTGTCACTCGGGACACCTTCCGTGGGGCATTAAAAACTTTATTAGTCTATGTGTTCTTCCATACTATGTACTACATCCAAATGACATTTAAATGCGTTAAATCATTCCAATGATACACCAACAAACATTTATCCATTCATCAAAATGTTTGTATTTATATACTATATTAGTAAGATGACTAACACATTGTTTACACACAACGCATGACAATGAAACATGTAATTTCTACCATTTATAACCCTGATTAATAAACAAGAAAGTTACATAAGTGATAATGAGTTCTTTAAAAGCAACAGATAAATGGGGGCACAATGTTCAATGTTTTTTTTATCACAGCACTATATTAGCTACTGCTAGCACAATACAAGAGATAGACTGTAATTACATATGCACAAAGATTTAGTTATGAATTAGAAATTAAGTTACATACTGCCACATTCAGTCATTAAATACTTAATTAAAAAGTCTGTATTGAGTTTTCTTACTAAATCTTGGCAAAACCACAAAGTTTGCAATCAATAAATAAAGTGGGTATACTTTTAAAATGTATCTTAATAAGTTAAAGATGTTTTTTTTGGATGAGAAAAAATACACTAGTTAATATTTTTTTTTAAATGAAACTACTTTTGCTAGTGATCACAAACTCAGACTAAGAAATAATTGAGAGAATCCTGAGTGTAAGGGTAAGATTAAGAGAAGAGAAGTTTATTGTAGAACAACATAAGTAAGGATACTTACTGGCACAATGTTGGCATTGATATAATCAGTCTTGCTTCTTTTCAAAATGACACGAGTGTGATCAAATGGGTACACATCACGGTAGCGGTTTAACTCTTTGTTTTCTAGCCGTTTAGCTTCTGTGCAGGTATATGGGTAAGACATACATGTGCGTCCAATTTTCTAAAACAAAAAAAAATCAAAGATAGGAATTAATTAAATGTGTTCAAAAGAATTATGGATAGCAAAGGGTCTATTAAAATATTGTGTTGTAGGTGATCCCAAAAGGGAGCTAAGTTGAGGTTAAATTTGGCTTTGTGAAGTTTAAGATAGTAGTCTCATTCTATCACTTGTTTAATTCTTGATTGTTTTTTTTTAATACTAACCAGACTCTAATCCTACCACAAGAAATTAAGAAAGCACTTAATGCTAGATATAAATATAGTGTAGAAAGCAGATACCCGAACTGAGTTAGATTATGTTTAGCTGCATCAGTGTAGCAGCCATTGCATTTTGCATATAACATCTTGCATAAAATTAGTAATTTTACATTTATGTTAGGTATAGTTTTCATTCCAATGAAGAAAACTGTCTGGAATATATAAACTTTATGTATTTTCAATTTCTACTTTAGACTTATCAAGTGAATTCAACATTAAAACAGCTTTGTTGTTACTATAAATATATGTATATGACATATAACATACAAAACATACTTTGTTTTGTTGTTGTTTTCTTTATGGTTTCATTTACCAGCTAAAGCAGAGCAAATTGACAATGTTATTGAAAATCTTAAATATTTGTTTTCGAGTTTTTGGTGGGTGTCATTTGGAGTGTAATGATGCGCTTGATCTACTCAAGCCCGATTAAAACGGTAGATATGCATATTAAGGAGAGATATGGAGTATTATAACCTCAACTGCACGTGGCATTTTGTGCTGGCTATCATAACGTCGACAAACTTTTCGGAACCCATTTCGACCTTGACATGTTGAATGGTACAGATTACATTGGGGACAAACTGCATCGAATGGAATATAAAATACTAATCAAGATGCTAAGGTTATAAAATTAGATAAAATGCTGGCGTCGTGTGTACGTGGCATATGCAGGATAAACTCTCTTATTACACCTACGAAATACTTACTTGATAAACTTTGGTCCACGCTTTCGTGGCTTCAATATCATTAAAATCTTTTTCGATATCATCGAAAGTTCTATCGTCGTTGTACATGATGCTATGTCATTCCAAACTTGCACGAACAAAGAATCGGTGTTTTGCTGCAACCGGATGCCGCCGCAATGTTCAAGTTATGTTGTATGACCAAATCTTAGTTATTAACGAGGAGCTGAATGAGGCTTTTTTATACTTTAAAAAAGTAAAGCGGCGGTGATCGTATGTTCGTGTCTCATTTACTTCTATATAAAATAAGTGTATAAATATAAAAAACTAGTAAAAACGCAATTATCCGCACAAGCCTCCTGAACGCTCCTGAAGCCTACCATAGAGTAAATAATATAGAAGCACAAGACTTTTGCAAAGAGTATTAAAAAAATTAACCTTACCGAACAGACTAAATAATATTTTATGGAAAGCCCACTGACGTTTCTTGTGTGCCTATTTCAGTTTGACTAAACTTAACCAAACTAAAAATAACTGTAACTAAACAAAAGTTTCATGATCCACGTTCATTCACACTGTTTATATTCAAGATTATGAATTCAACACAATAGCAATAGTTGACTTCTGGAGAATTTGTAGTCGCTATCTAATTGTATACATCATTACACCCGATTATATTCTTTGCATGGTTCGTCATTCGTTGACAAGTTGGCAACTTTGGTTGGTAGCAGTTGGTAGAATAGTAGCAGAAAACTAGAAAAACTTTGACTATCGCTGACCATCGGTATTTGGTTCCGAGTTAGGACAAGCTCCTTGCTTCGGAACAATTCGGAAATTTGGAAGAACGTGTCATATAGTATGCTGTGATTTACTTTTAATTTTTGTTCAAAGATCTTGTTCTAATAGAGATTATAAATTTAGCAATCATTGTATAAAGTAGAATAAATGGCTTCGCCACGTACCCGTCGGAAGTTAAATTCGGTGAGGACACAGGATGAAAACCACGTAAGTCAATGTTGTACAAACTCTGAATACTACCTATTAAATTTTAGTTATCCAAATTTCAATTGACATATTAACATAATTCTTAGAAATGCTTCGAATGTGACACGCTCAATCCACAATGGGCATCTGTTACGTATGGCATATGGATCTGCTTGGACTGCTCTGGAGTTCATCGAAGCCTTGGTGTGCATCTCTCGTTCGTGCGTTCAATAACTATGGACAAGTGGAAAGACATTGAACTAGAAAAAATGATGGTATACTTCAGTTTTTTTTTATTTTATTTTATGAAAATTTATTGGGTTTTGAATCCTGGATTGCTTGTAAATGATATCAAGCAATAAGTTATCTACAATGCATTAGTGTATTGACAAAAAATATCTTTGTATGTTATTAGGTTGGTGGAAATGCCAAAGCTCGCATATTCTTTGAAAATCAACCTGATTATAAGCCAGATATGACAATTCCACAGAAGTACAATACAAAAGCTGCTGCCATGTACCGGCAAAAGGTAAATTATATTTCAGTTTAGTTTCTTTAATCTCACTAACATTCCATTGCAATAAAATACAATCACTTTTAGATCCTACAATATTATCTAATACTGATAATACTAAACATTTTTTTTTATTGTACATCAAGTTTACTTTGTTAAGCCTCAGATTCAGTAATTAAAAGTGCTGGTTTCTGAGCATTATCTTTTAATTGAAGTTGATCAAAATATGATTATATCTGACCATCTCAAAATGCTCAAACCATACTCAAAGTGCAGCAAACTTGCCACTTTCTATTTATACAGTAGAAGTGACAATCCTGTGTAATTACAGATTGCAGCTCTCGCAGAAGGTGGTTCATGGAGTCCATCGGATTATAAGCCTGAAAATACTGAGCGATCATCAGATTGGAATTCCCAAGGATCTTACTCCTCCAATGATAACATGTTTCACATGAGTGGTTCCGACAATGATATCAGTTATCAGTAAGCATCTTTGTCTACTATATTTAGTTAACTTTTATATGGAATGTTTTTAAAGATTGATTATGTTATTTTAATCCATAGTAGCAAATATGGAAGTGGACGCTATGTCGGCTTTGGAAGTTCACAGAATCAATCTCAATCAACACCTATGTCACCAATACACAGTGGAAATGAGATTGTTGACAACACCCTGGCTTCCTTAGCATCGGTAAGACTTTTTAATATATATATACATATTTTAAAAACAAATAATTGTGACAGTTTCTTTAATATTTCATTACATGTTCACTTTAATTGGTGTTCATTGTAATTAAATTTTGTACTCATAAAAAATGTGTATTTTATGCAGGGTTGGTCTATGCTGACATCTTCTGTAAGCAAAGTGGCCCGAACTGCCACTGAAAGTGCTGTTAAATATGGAGGAATAGCATCTCAAAAAGTTTCTGAAATGGCATCTACTGTCACAGATAAGGTTAGTGTAATTTTTTTCATAGGTGGAATATCTTCAAAAGAAGAACCTTAGTCCCAACATGTTTAGATGTAAAATTTAATTTTGATTTAGTGAAAGTTGGTAATAAATGTTACAATGTTTAAGGTTAATAACCGTGGTGGACGAAGCTCTTTGAGTGGTGCCAACGAGCTGCGCCGAGCCAGCAATACAAGTCCTCATTTCCTCACACAAAGCTATGGTGCAATGAAAAGTTCCACTTCTGAGACCTACTTCAATTGGTGAGTTTAAGAAATATTTCAATTAAACACACATTGTCATTATACATTTTCAAACATTGATTTTTATATTAACCTGTTCTTTTTATTTTATCAAGGAACGAGCCAAACCAGGCGTCGACATTTTCTGTAGCAGCTCGTAACAATTTAGATACTCGCGATCTATCTCAGGTTGGTATATCAAGCCCGCCTCCCGATGTAAAAAATATCACGATAAAGAAGAAGCAGGACAGCGAGGACTCATGGGACTGGCTTTAAACAACATTTGAAAATAATCACGATAAGATTTAAAAAATGACGTGCATGTTTAATTGATTAAAGCCGGCAAGGCAATTGCTTAATTGCATTGGTATAAGTATTAAATAATTTCAATTTATATGCATTTAATGGAATCTTTTCTATCTACATTTAAAATTGTCTGTGGTAGATGTTTAAGTTGAAATCAGTTGTTATAAAATTCAAATTACTAACAACCTCATATGACATAATTAAATTACTATTAACATTTTTATTATAATTCAAGTAACTCTAATGAGTTGTAGAATAATTGTGAAACCCTATGACAAGCAGCTTGTGGTCAGTAATATAGATAGAGGAACCACCTTACTAATGCATGCAGAGTTCAAAATTTCTGACTTTTGTATCAAACTGAATAATTGTTCAAAGGTGCATTCCTAACCATTCTCAGTATAAATGTATAATGTGTATTTATAGATTCATCATTGTCTTTCTCACCTATTTCTTATGGATAGATAGCATAGTATGTACTACTCTTTCATACATCTCTGTCATCTCATCTAAACTAACCGGATTCTTATACATATCCTGTTTAATCAATCCAACCTTATTTGTGCAATAATTGTAGCAATTTGCATTAAAATTAGTTCATTTCTTCTGATTGTGATTTAGTATATTTAATATATAATTTAGTTTTTAAAATAAAATAAGAGTTTGAACTTTAGTTATATAATTTTACTTAAACATCTATCACTCCTTTAGTTCACAAATGATGACTCATTTGTTACGTTCTTTTTTATGTTAAAAGATTACTTTACTAAGGTACTGTTCTCATAATTATTTGTAATGTTGCCCATTTGCAATATTGTTTTTTTTTAATTGATAATTATTTTGTTTTTTTTGTGGACAAAGTAATAATGACATATCATTCTATTTGTTTAATAATCTATTGTTATGTAGTAAAAAATCGACCTAAAATACATAATAATATTTATTTATGACAGTATCCAATTCATCATAAACATATTTCAATTTAAGCATAATTATGTAATTATTTTGCATTGTAGTTAATGTAACATTTTAATTCTGACATCAAAATGACATCTATAATTATATATTATATTTGTGAAGTTGACTAATGAAAAACTTATTCTGTTAAAAAAATCTGTCTTGAATATTTATAATTGCATAAGAAATGTAGTAAAATTTATTGTCGTAATATGTTTATATGTAAAAGATTTACAGCTTTTTCATGTTTCTAATATGTACTAAAACAACTTTTTCTTGTGCCTACTTTGGCCTATCTTTATGATATTTGTTATATGTATATTATAGCAGTTAGACTGTTATATCATTAAAAGTTTTGTATTATCTTATTTAAAATATTTAGTTTAATTTACTGTGTTGCTGATGTATCATGTAATTTTGAACCGTATGAGATCTCGCAATTTCCCTATAAATCAAGTCAATTTAACTACTTTTTTTTCTGGTCATTCACTTTTTTAACAAAAAAAAGTAGGAAAAAGATTTATTTTTAAAAATATAGTACATATAAAAATTGTGCCATGCATTTAAAGCTAATTAAAATCAAATATTTTTTACCATATATGAATTAATTTATTATGTTCTATAGTAAAAAAAAAACATTTTGACAAAGTAATAATTTTTACGCAAATCTGTTTTACGATAATGGAATACATTTTTTATTACTTAATATTTGAATTTTTGCTAAATAGATTTATATATGATTTATTAGATGCTATTGCATAAAATAAAACTATGAGTTAACTAAATTTGCTAATTTTAGAGATATTTATAACAATGTATATTTAGCTTGAAATTATTAGTGGCCATGGGCAATGTATTAGATAGTTATAATAAATACTATTGATGGAAATTTATTTAACTATACAGCGGATCTACATAAACGGGTATATATTTTCTTAAATAAAAGATTCTGTGATGTATTTTTTCTATACTCAATTATTGCATATTTCTTTTATATACTAGTGTTATATGGCTATATAAATATCAATTGCAATAAATTCAAAGCATATTCCTAATAGTTCCAATTTATTGCTTGGCTTTTATAAGGTCATTTAATAATTAAATTTAATATGTATGGATGGAAGAGTCGCCATACATGTACCCATTGCTGCCAACTGCAGGCAGTGTATGATAAACTTCATATGCGAATGCCAACCTCTCGTATGGCGACGGTAAATTTATAGATAATAGTTAATACACCATTATTATTTAAGCTTTATTCCTACATTTCTATGTAGAAACTGGAATTTAAATTATTGTTTAGCAAAATTATTCTATAAATCTGATATAAAAATTTAGTTAGTTAAAATTAAATGATGATTATATTACAGCTTTAGCCATAAGATTTAATGTATTGATGTTGGTTCATTGGCTATGTAATTTTAGTTTTTGTCCATTATATGAATTTTAATATGTAATAAATATTATCAGAATTAATCGCTTTTTCTTTAAACTTATCAGTAAATATTCCTAAAACTGATGAAATTCTAAACAAACAAGTCAAGACTTGCCTATTACCTCCCTTGCTTTTACTAGAGTAATTAAAAAAACAAGGTCCTGAGTTATATATTCATGCTGATTTTTAACTCTACAATATACCAGGCTGTCAACACATTCAATGCCACTACTATTTTCTTGTACAAAAGTGAACTTGACTGGCAGGTTAGTGGCACTCAAAGTGTTAATGATTGTTTAAGAGGTGTATAAAGAATTAAGGAACTGTTTTTCGAATCAGCAACTTTAATGAAAATAATAATTGATAAATTACAAATATGTGCAATAAAAAATCCCAATATTCAATATTTTTCCACCAATAAAATATTACATTAACAAATTCCTTTCCTTATCCTTAGCCCATCAAATGTTAAATTAATACTTAAAATAGTACGTATTGTTAAAAAATTTGGTAGAAAACATACAATACTTATGAAATATTACCTATAATTATTTTACCTTAAACCAAAAATTTGTATAATGGAAACTTGTTGATTGTTGAACATTACACTTTACAATTTTTTTACAATTATGTAATTTCTTTAAAAGATCATTTGATATTTAAATCTTTATTACTTTGCCAAAGAGCTTTGGTGTATACCAACAGATGTAGCAATTGAAATTGAGGTAATACTAAATTGTACGGAGTTTTAAGAAATGCAATATAACTATTTTAGCTATATTATTACAAAACTAATTACACTTTTATCAGGTTTTTTGACTTTTACAAAAACATGCAAAACAACATCAGCAAAATCCTTAACAATCAATGAATCAACATATTAAGAAGTCTTATTACATTCATAACATTAAATAATTATGATGCCCACATATAAGAGTAAATATCTTGCCAGTGACTTAAGTATCGAATAATAGGATCACAAACAAATGACATGGCTGGAATTTTATTTGACATAGAAGTGAGAACGTTTTCTATTACATTTTTAGAATAACCATTGTACATGGGACTTCTTAACAAGTAAAGTATAAAACCCAATTTTCTACGGCTTATTTCTATTCGTTGCTCATAAGTCAACTCCTTCATATGGCGGTTATAAAGTTTGAAACTTGCTAAGTCTAATCCAAGTGCTACTAGCCATTGTTTCCAAGCTGTTGTCCCAAATGCACGCATTGCAGCAAGATGTACCATAGGTCTCAAAATATACAACAATTCCGCATGAACCAAATCTTTTATTTCTGTGTTGGTTGTTTTATTATCCTTGATTTTAACACGTTGCCAGTCACGTAAGGCGATAGGTGGGGCACCATCAACCCGTCTAAGAACACGTCCGGATCTTTTAAGTGTAAAATAAGAATTTGCATTATCATCTGATTCTCTTTCTTCAGTGAATTTTTTTCGTTGTAAAGCTGGTATTGGAGGATGTTGAATTGGTAATTCTTTAAATCGATACAAGAGAATTAAGGCTGAGCCACACTTGAAAGTTTGAATCAGTGTTGTAGCTACCCACTTCCCACGATTACCCCATTTGTTCTTGACAGTGAGCTCAATGAATACTTCACAATAATGAACAATAGTTAGCCAAAGCTTCACCTGATCTCTAAATCCATAATGCTGAAATTCACCATCATATGCCTCTCTAATGACTCTATCGTTAAACAACGATATAAGTTTAGAAACAGTGTACACAAGTTCTGATACAATCGGTGATTTATTTATTTTCCCAGCAATAAAGTATGATGACCACGTTGTTACAGTTTCCAAATCTGTTACAATTCCTGGATTATTAACAACCCACTTTTTATAACTCGTAAACAACTGCAAAGGTGTGATTTCTTTAGCCATCTTTTAAAGTTTTTACAAGCTTATTACATAAACTTTTCCCTTATGTTAGCTTAGCTTATCAAATTGACTTCTACATCGAATTATAAATCATTTACATATAAAAGTACAATATTGTATTCCTTGACATATAAAGAAAAGGATATAAGTTGATTACTTTGACATGTAATTGATAATTTATTAGGGTTGTGCTAACACATTTCATTCTTAACCGATTTGACCGAAGTAAAATCGGTTAAGAATCGTTTCGCTTTTTGACATTTGTTTTTATAGATCTTGAAATCGATTATTTTATGACTTTGGTTTTTGAAATACAAAATAAACATAATAGTTTCTTTCTATTTCTTCTGAATACTTCAACACCAAACCTCTTTTAGTTTAGTTTTGTACTTTAATCAAAATATCAAGATTCTAACTATAAAAATTTATTATGATATATATTTTTTAAATTGTGAGATAAATTAGATACCTACGTTCTTACGTCATCATGAGTTATATAGCTAAAGATTATTTTAAATACATAAATAAAAACATCTTCGAATTATTTTTTTTTACAAGAGCGATTTTCTATACTTCGCAGTTGTTGGTTTTCTATGTATGTTTCCCATTCCCTTCGACAGTCGTCAATTAGGTACGATATTAACTCTGAGTGTGTCATACTAATCAACTTTGTACTTTATTATATATGGACAAAGTATCATGACGACAATGACGTAGCATTTTTAAGTATGGTCCGACCAATGTGAAACGAGAACATTTTTAGTGTGTTAGTGCAGCCAGAACTGAACCGAACTAAATCCGGTTACCTGTAGATATGGATAATCGATTAACAAATCTGAAGCAAAGAACATATAAAAACGGGACGCACACTTGTTTTGAGGTTACCAGTATGCTGTGCCCCTCCTAGATATTAGAAGGCGCCCCAATCTTCATTGGTATTGCAACATTTCTTATCCATTTTATACATCAAACGAACTGAAGTCATTTAAAAATCGAGTATTTTACATTTATCCTACGTTAATCGCGGTTATAATCATATTTTATATCTGTTGTATTACAGTTATTTGGCTGTGTATCGCACAATTAACTAAAAAACATTAAACACATTTCATTTTAAACTGATATAAAAACACTGACGTATATTCGTCGACGGCACCGACTAGTTACAGTGAACGACCGGCCGCGTCCGCGAAATAATACCAGTACCACTCAGCCTGATGAAGGGCCCCCGATGGGCTCGAAACTAGTCGGTGCCGCCACCGGACGAATATACGTGAGTGTTTAGCCGTTTTTACATCAGCTTGGTATAATGTCTCACGAAAGTTTGAATAATTTAACATTTCATTTTGTTTGTCAACACCTTAATTTAAAGATTTTAAGTTTATTTCTTTATGTAATTTTAAAGAATAAAGCAGGAATCAAAATGAACAATTTTATGTATATAGCATGTAATTTATAAACAAACAATAATCACGAAATTTTCGATAGCAAGTTTTATGAAACAACCATCGATAATCAAAATATTCAAAACCGATTCTACTCACATCACTAGTAAATTGTCAAATGAATCGGTTCAGTTCTGGCTACCACAGAGTACTCTTGTATGAGTTATCACAATTACTAGAGGATATTACTATACTCTTTGGTTATCAATTAGATTATAGATCTCTCGGCACCATTTTAGAAGCAAGTTGTTTTGACATTCCAGTTTTCACTTTAGCCGACTAGGCGTACTTTAAGGTTCTTGCATTTTTTTTAATGTGATATTGTCCATTTAGATTTTTGAAATTAATATTCGACTTATTTTAACTTCAAAGATGGTAGGCCGTGCTGTGACCGCTAACCAAGGCGCTAAATATGAACAGCTGGCTTCAAAACCAGATGTCGACGAAGAAGTAATAAGAAGTAACGCAAAAGGAAAATGGTCCGATATATGTGTGCAAAAAAGTCTTTTCTCTTTGGGACTTATACTATTTTACTTTTCATTGTCTATTGGTCTCACATTTTACCAAAGATGGCTTTTAAAGGTATTTCATTATATTATCATGTTCCCGAATTTTCATTTATGTATTACTATTCCAGCCGTAGTTTTTCATCACGATAAGTCAAAACCAAACTCTACTCTCCAACTTGCAAGCAAAATGTCGAGCAAATTCTTAATTTTTATCAAACTTAATTTATAAGAAGTGTTAATTACAATTGCTATCAATAGTGGTAAAAGTTAATTAGTGTTAATTTCACTTATTTGAATCTTATTTGACTAGAGTATATTTTCGAAATCAACTTAAGATATATCATTGTTAATTAAATTACATATCATAGTTTTATTTATAATCTTTAATTTTTTTAGGAAGTACGTTATCCACTCTCAATAGTGATGTACCATTTAATAGTAAAGTGGCTACTGTCAGCATTTGCAAGGGAAGTTTTACATTGCATCACATTGAGAACTCAGCTAGTGCTCTCATTTATGACATGCCTACGTTCAGTTGCCCCAACTGGATTTGCCAGTGGCATTGATGTTGGCTTCTCAAATTGGGGACTCGAACTTGTCACAATTTCACTCTACACAATGACAAAATCAACAACTATAATCTTCATACTTGGATTCGCAATATTCCTCGGCCTCGAGAAAAAGGTGAGTTTTCAATTTTAGACTAAAATATTTTACACTGGGCTTACACTGCTGCAGCTATATACAAAAACATATTGTTCAAGTATTTATAGAATATGACAGAGACAATGAAATCATCAAAATTAAACAATGGGGTCCACTAGTAGTTAAACGAAGAAGACAGAGACAATGCCTAATTTTAATATATTCCTCCCACATCACAGGGATAAGGGTTGGGAGGCAATGATGATAGAGACAATATGTTTATGTATATTTTCTTTAAATATTTCTTTTTATCAGTAATTCATATTTTTCTTAATAGCACTATATGCAGATAATATTTACAATTGGATAATAAAACAACATCCTCCTATATCCTAGGACTTTCAGTAGTGCAATGATTAAGCACTGAATTTTGAACCATTTCAATCCCTGTCATGTTTTTAGATTTTCAAATTTTCAATTTTTAAACTCAAAGATGTGCATGTAGTCAAGGTTGTTTAATGCAAAATCACATTAACTTCAAGAAGTCATCTTTGTAGTGTTATACGATTCAAACATATCTGCATAGCAATGTTTTCTTCTGAAAGCTTTCTCATTGAAACCTGCATAAATCCTTTTTAGATTATAAGTAGGTCTTTATAAATATATAAAAATCAATATTTATATGTTTGTCAATGCTGTGTTACCAAAAGATTCAACATATATACATCACAAGTGCAAAAAATTTAAGAAAAATAATGTTCTTTCATTTTAATGAAGTTGTTTGCTTTTATATTAACATTTGGATTGTTTACTTGACATTTCAACACATGAATTAGATTGTTTATTACTGAATAGACTACTATTCCGCATTAGCTCTGTATTTTTTTGATCACGTTTTTGCTAAATGCTGTATACTTAAGACATAGTATATGGTATTATCAATGTTTTAAACTGCGATGCGATAATGATGCTGATAATATGTATGAATTGAAAACACGCTAGCTGAATGCTATCCGCATTATCGTTTATTTTTATTGCCTTTTTTTTACTTATAAATAAGTGGCGGTATCGTTGTTAAAAGTACCGTTACGCGAATTGATCTGACGGTAAATATCGCCACAGCGAATGAACGCAATGCATTTTGTTTGTGTTGAAGGTCCACAAAGTATTTTTACCCGATTAATTAAAATATTCATGAAGCTATAATTGCTTGCGGAGCACCTGCCGGCTAACTATTTTTATCGCATCCCGAACTGCGTATGCAGCCGTTAACCGTGCGTTTAAAATGTCAAACCATTGGTGCAAAACAAACAACTTTGCATTTCATTCTCGTTGGACAGACATGTAACATGTATTTTTCTGTAGGTGTTTGTTCTTATTGTTGTACGTTTCTTATCCTTATTCTACTAAGTACGGTGGTAACTCTAAATCTAAAAGTTTTTAGTCCGAAGATATTCACAAGAGATAACTGTATTTTTTGGAGTTAATTTGTAATGGTGTTCTCAAGATCTACTCATGTTCACCTATATGCGAAGTACTATTAATGTCGAACGCGAGAGTTTTTTCAGTTCTTACAAGTGTGTGTTTACATTTTACATTAAGTGTATGAAGGTGTAAAACATATAAAAAATGTAGTGAATAATGAATGTCTTTTTCACAGTCTTGGTCGCTGGTTGGGATTGTTATCATGATAGCTTCTGGACTTATCATGTTCACCTACAAGGCGACTCAGTTCAATCTTCTTGGCTTCTACTTTCTTCTGTTGGCATCGTTTGCCGCTGGCTTGAGATGGTCCTTCGCACAACTTCTAATGCAAAAGTCTAAGCTGGGTCTGGACAATCCTGTGGACATGGTGTTTCATGTGCAGCCCTGGATGTTCATATCGCTGCTACCATTCACTATAATGTTCGAAGGTGAGTCTATTCCCATTGATAATAACAATCTATTTTAATTTTGTGTTTGAAATAATGATTAATATGTAAATAATATTGTTTTTTAAACAACTAATAGGTTACTTTAGCTAGTTGTCATCAATACAAATTATTTCATATTTTTTTCAATAGAAGAAGGCAACTTTTGACTTTTTTGATGGAACTTTTAAGTTTGATATGTCTTATGAAAATTTTTGTTATATGTGCGCATTGTTGAGACTTAACACGTAAATATTAACAAAATTTTACTAAAAGTCTTCAATATTCTTGTGAAATGCGTCTTAGATTGTTACGTTATTATACATTTTTATTATTGCCAATAATATAGTAAGATATTGTTGTAAAAAGATACTGCTACTACTTATAAGTCGTAGTCACTTTCTGCTTATAAAATGGATATATTTCTGAAATATAATTTTCAGCACCGTCGACAGATTTAACATAATAGAATTTCAAATTTGGTATTATCCGTCGTTTTTATTCTGGAATAATTTGCAATTCGACATTTGTGTGTCCTACGTAGTTTTTCTGAAAATCTGAATTATTAATAAGATTTTATTAGCACCTATATTATTTATTACTAGCTAATACCCGCGACTTTGTCCGCGCGGTATTAAAAATATATTAGTAGCTTGTATATTTTTCAGACTGTTATACATTTATGCTAATTGAGCGAGATCCGTTTAATCGTTCTTGAAATAAGCAATAACAAACATCCATCCGACTTGGCGTCTACGTGTATAATATTAGTAAGATAACTAAATTTGAGATAGGGTACAAAAATAATTTACTTTGGTACATCCTTTTTCAGATACTGGTTTTAACCAGATATTTATATCTGTTTATTTGTACCAACATTGCACAAAATTATGGCAACTTAAGATATCTATTTATAAACTACTTAATTCGCCAGACAGTACGTAAAAAGATCATGGAATTTAAAATGCAGACTATTTATCGTTTATATACGCCATATTTTATGGTAAAGAAGTACCAATGACGCGCACTATCTTGTTTTTTTAAATGTTTTCTACACTTATTTATATCCTTTACCTCACGTTACGCAGACATACTCATTATCTATATGATCCGTTTATATGTTTTATTTGTTTACTCGTCTGACAAGGAAGTAATGTTTTTCGATCTTATGTTTTTTTTTGCACCTTGGCTTGTATGTATATAACAACATATTGTATTCCGTTAAGATGAATCGATCTTGACAACAGTATCATTCGATTCGTGTTCTTGTCTGGAGTGCCATAAGCGGTATTACTATGAGTTTTTATTGTTGTGACACTTGTATTTATACATATTGTGGTCTCTTTTTTGTCACATCATTTCAATTTAAATGCACTGCTTGGGTTATGGTACCAAATCTTACTAATATTATAAATACGAAAGTTTAGATAGATGGATGGATGGATGTTTGCTAGAAAACATCTCTGAATCTGATGTCATTGTTACATATATTTTATGATTGTGTATACATCGTAAGTCTTCGTATAGTTTAAAAATATTTGTTACTAATTCCAGGCACCACCTGCTTCGATTACCTTTTATCGTTGACTACGGAACAATTACTGCCCACCATTCTGAAGGTGTCCGTTGGTGCGATATTGGCCTTTGCTATGGAGATTAGCGAGTTTCTTGTCGTCACCTACACATCAAGTCTTACGCTATCAATTGCTGGCATTTTTAAGGTAACACACACTATAGAAGTTTTTTTAACTACAAAAACAAAAAAACAAGATCCTGTTTTCCTCTAGCGAGGTAAATGTTTGGAAGATTAGTTATAATTTTAGCAAAGTTTCTTCTAAACCAGTGATTAAGATGCATTTTCCTAATAAGTGTGCCATAATCTTAGCTACAAGTTATTAGTGGTCTGTAGAATAACCTTATAAATCTCTGAACATCAATTAATCATCTGAGTAACAGTACAGTTAGTTAAATTAACCTTAAAGCAATGTGTAATAACTTTTACATTATCTTTTTTTCCTTATTTTTATTTATTTATTTATCCTAGTTATTGTACAAATAACAGAATAACAGATATTATACTCATTTGTACTGGATTCAGAAATTGATACTTAATATTTTTTTACAGGAAATGTGTATTTTAATACTGGCAGTGGAAGTGAGCGGTGATCAACTAAGCGCTATCAATGTGGTTGGATTGACAGTATGCTTGTTGGGCATCATCGGACATATTATACATAAGGTTCTTGTGATAAAGGCAGTTGCTGGTACAGTGAGGGCTCTGGATGTGGATGACTTCAATGAAATAAATAAGATGAGAGCGCCCCAACCTAATGGTGAATACGGCAAACCATTGTTGGAAGACCATGTACACTGCAATGGATTAAGCGATGATAGTGACATAGATCCTACTGAAATCTTATACGAAGTGTTACATAGAAGAGATGCGAAGTAAACACGGCAACATTTAATCAATCGGATTCTTCCTTCAAATAACTATAATCAAGTAAATGTGTGTTTCCACTAATGAAACATTTGCATAAAAGCATATTGTTATCTCTCTCTTTTGATTTGGCAAAATAGAGATAGTATTTCATGCAATCGTTTCCGCAGTGGAAAATCACTGTAATAATTTTTTATTCTTGTATGTATATTCCAAAAAGCGTCTTTCCCTTTCTATATAAAGCTTCCATAATCTTAAAGATTTTTACTTTGGATTTAGGTTAAGAAGCGGTCAAACTGGCGATTATCAAGTTTAATATATATTTAGTATACATATTTATAAACATTTACAACTAATGTACGAATTTGATCGCTAAATAGGTTTTGAAAGTTTTGTATTTTATAGTTTTGATGAAATAAATTAAACTAAATAGTTTCGATTATATTTGTTATTTTATAAATTATTAGTCAAAACTTTTCATTAGAGCATTCCATTATAAAAGTGAAATTATTTAATACGAGAGGTTGAATTTATATAATTTTCGAGTCTTTACAAGCATTTATAATTAAGTTTAACTAGCTAAATAGGAACTAAAGTGATCTATGAAACAAAATAAACACTTTCAGATAACAAACAAAACGCCTTTGAAGACTTTTGTACTTAAGAACTTATGTAATGTTAATGCTATACGGTGATTAAAAAGATAGAATATTTATTCTATCTTTAGATGTAGCCTGGATTTATTTATCTATTTTTAATGTTTAATTATGGTAATTGATGGATTTAACCAAAAATATCTCATATATACCACTTTAGTTCCAGTTTAGCCAAATATCTTCCTTTTTAATTAGTTAACGATGTTTCTTACGATTCTAGTTTTCCATTTCCTAGTAGTAGTGTTTTAACCAAAGCATGGTTATATAATTAACGTGTAATATTATATATCTTAGTGTATCAATCATATTAGTAGGTAAATTATATGCATTTAAAATTTCCACGTCACCAGTAGTTCATAAATGAACTTTTTTTTGACTTTTTAATTTAAAATTACCATTTTTTTTGTTTATTTCACCCTGATCTCACTTTACTTTTTAACTATTCATCAATTTTAATACCCACAAATTATTAAAGTAAAAATTATTGCATTTCCCAAAGATATTTGTGAATCAACTCTGAAATTAATGATAAAGTAAATCCAAAATAACAAACATTACGGACCAACAGACAATTGTCATGAAGACGAATAGTAAGATAAAATTTTTATAGAAAGTATTTGGCTCTACTATATGGCGAAAAAAAAATGCGGAATTGAAATTTATAAAAAATATAAAAAAAGAAAACAAAGCTGGTATTCTCTTTACATGATTAATAATGACAGGATACTTTGTTATTGTTATGTTCCTTACTATACTTTTATAATGTAAGCAGCTAATATGAATCTAACAAGTTTCATGAGTAACTTATAACTTTTTAAAATTGAACGTGCCATACACAAAAAACCAGCCCACATTTGAACCAAACGAGGCTATAACTGAATCGTTAAAACTATTTGCTACAACTTTTTATATAGAATTAGTTAAATATAGAATAAAACTTACGAAAATTGTTATAAACGCACAAAAACTTCGCCTAAATGTACATTTCATTACACTGTAGTATATATAGAAGTATATATTGATTCCATGAATATGTCTTGCCACAATAATATTCCAATTTTTATTTTACGACACATGCTGTATCTTCAGGGTATTGAGACTTAGTACCATTTAGGAATTTGACATGATAATTTATTTATTTTATACATAATTTAATTATATAATAAATATAAAATATATCACACAAAAAACGTTTGAGGAACATTCAAAGTATTTTATGAAAATCTTCATAAAAATGGTACAACATTTTTGTTTATTTTTAAACTTATATAATCTTTGTGGTCTTGAAAACCTATTTTAACCAATACGAATCCAATTTTTTTTGAGAGAAATACTTTAATTTTTTATGTCTTTAAAGTCGATTCTGAAACATTTGTTTTTGATTGCATATTAGTAATTAAACGTTTAAATTGCATCTTATTATCACAAATTATTGCTGATTTGATTTGATACGCGTTTCTTAGACTTTTTCGTGTGTGTAAAAAAAAAGAACTTTAGTTTAATTTAAATATATCTATTATTATAATTTTAACTTTAACGTATTTAAACTTAAACATAAAATAAATATTATTTGTTATTATATTACGTTAGTAAGGGGAGACTTTAGGAGGTCGACCTTCATCCATCTGATAACAAGATCAGACTATTTTTTTATCAAATATTAATGAACAAATATGCCTATCATATCGTAACAGTGGAAGACGCCAGCAACAATAACAGCTGTTGCACGAATTGGTCGGCTCGCCCGGTGCAATACCACGACCACACAGAAGACAGGCGTCAAGTGGAAGCAATTCCGCATAGTCTGATGAGTGTGGTGCCGGAGGCCTAATTTTAGTCCCCTTTCCCTTCCCACCCTTTCCTTATGAGGAAAAGATGGGATGGGGATGGGGATTTGATGGAGGAGGTGACGCATAGGAAGGGGAAATATTCTCTTTCTGTGCGTTCCCTCCTCCGTAAATTATCATATGCAATTTTGTACATTAATAATATTTGATAAAAAATATGTCTCATCTGGTTATCAGATGAGTGTAGGTCGGCATCACATCAGCTCTTAGACTATGATGTGGTCCATGGTAACTATCCTGTCATAGAGTATTAAATTTCTTTCTCTCGAAATTTATGACGACAATTGAACTTATATATAAACTGTACCGAATTACCTTTTTCTCTGAAAAGTTTTGTTCGTTACCAGTGTTCCTATTTTTATGGCGAAAATTAAACAAAGGCAACGATGAAAATATGTAGTGAGAATTTCTTCAAAATAATAAAAAAATATTCAAAAAAAATTTTTCTTGTATTGTTTTAAATTTCTTCAATAATCACGTTAATTTGTAAACGAATGAAAACTCACTGGATATTTTTCTTTTGCCTTGTAATAGAAAAACCTTGTTTTGTTTGTTGTTTGTAATCAAATCTGTTGTCGTTGTTTCTACTATTTGTTGTTTAATTAATTTTTGGCGTACATGTTTAAAACTAATTAAGCTAGTATATAGTTATAATAGTTTGCTACAATTAAGTTGAAAACCATTAAAATATATTTTGTTGATTCCTTGAGGAATGTGAATATAATTTGAGTACACACTTTATCATTTTTATCAGTTTTGGATCCTTGTTTATAAAGACATAGAAATTATTATAACATGTGAAAAGATAAATTCTGTTACGTAAATATTAAAACTTGATAACCCCCCCCCACATTACCATAAGGAATTAAAAAAATGCATTTTTTGTTATATTTTAATTATTTTTATGCTCATCAAAGCTGCTGAAAAACTTGTTTTACATTTTTAATTTTAAGGTATAGATTTAATTTTTTTTGTGTTACGTTTCCACTGTCGATACACTTGATTAAAACATAGTCCCTTTGCCAAAGTACCATAAATCTTTTGTCTTTGAAAAAATTACGCACCACATGTTTCAATACAAGTGTCGGCAGTGGAATTTTACGGTTAATGTTAATTTGTTTTGCGCACTGTGAACAAAACCCTTTATTTAAGTTAATATCTACAATAGGAATAATCAAGGTACTTTAGATCCCTATATATCCTCCATAGATTGGAAGGAAATTTACATACAACTTACTACCTTACACATTATTAGCTTTAGTTCTAAAATATTATAATACTTTTGCACATTTATTTTATTGGGCAGCACTACGTTTTTATTTTGTTATTGTTTCTTTGCAATTTTTTTTATAGTATTCACTGTAACAGTTTTCAAATTCTACTTAAAAAATAAAATCCACTTGTTTTTTTTTAATAAATCATTGTTTTAGAATCGTTTGTGCTTTTGTGAATGTAGTATCTTTGTCGAACTTCTTTTGTACTTCTCAATCGCACAACACTACTCCTCCGAGCGATGCTACTTCTCTATGGATGGCAGTTATCGAAAAGTTTCTGGAAACATCTAAGTCATCAATCTAACAATATTTCTCAGTGAATACAGTACAAAATTATTTTACAGCGATAAATGTTATCAAATTTAATTCCGTAACGCCAAAATAATTCTTAGTCCTTTTTATAAGTTCATTTAATATAAAATAAGCTACTATACGATATAGTTGTAAGCGTAATATTGTAAAATTGCATTTTATACACATATATTGTAATGTTTAAGAGGTCTGGTACTTAAATTGAAATAAAAATGTTTGAAAATCAAAATCTCCTTAGCATAATGTTGTAAAATATTTTTTTTTTATATGAGAACTTTTAGACATATATTTTTTTAATATTTTTTTATTTCTCTAGATTATTTGATTTAGGTTAATAATAATCTCGTTTTCCTATAAGTATTGTTACGAAAACATTAATTTTTTTTTCATTTCTTCTGGTCGTTTTGTTTTTTAAATTTGGGAGAAAATAACATTTGGTGACATAAAACACATATTCTTTGTATAAATGTAATAAAACATAACAGAATTATTTAACAATCACGGCACTACTGGGGACGGATTTTTATTTCATAATAGATGTGAGGTTGCTTCAAACAGTGAATTAAATAATTAAGTGAATTTCGTAAATATAGATGATTATGCAAATCGTGTTTTATTTTAAATGCAATTTTCTTAAAGCGATATATTTAGAAAGGTTACGGAGCAAAATAAAGGAACCTGTGAATCAGTTCTTCAGTATGTCAGTGGCAAAACTGAGCTGCGACGGCGTCTTAGCGTCCAACTGGCCGCTCAAACGAAACAACTTTCCATTTATCAAAGTTGCCGCTTCCATCTTGCGAAGGAATAAATTTTTGCTAGATGTATTCAAAGTTTTCTCCGTCAGTGTCTTATTGGATTCGGAGTCTAAAGAATTTATAATAGAGTCCGCATCTGCATCTAAGTTAAATATATTCGTCTGCGACTCCTCGCGCCACAGCTTTTGCAAGTTGAGGGCCATCAGCTCAAGTTGAACTTGCGACAGCTCCTTGATCACGTCGATCTGCACCGACATCACGCTATCGCAGTTCTTCAACAGAGAGTTCAACGCCTCCAGCACGTCAGCCCGTCTTTTTTGTATATTATATTGATTATCGATATTTTTCTCAAAGAATGCCAAATGCTCGTACAATTCAGCTAACTGTAGAGAGCAGGATACGTATTGTGCGCTATGATGCTCGAAATCGTAAAAATGTCTCGCTCTCATTAGCCATTTGTGGGTAAATGTAAACAACTTTCTGGCTTCTTCAATATCACAAATCATCTCAACGGGGACACGATTTTCTATATCTTTTAAATTCAGAGAGGGGAAAATATAAAGCTTCTCTGCGGCTCCGTCTCCTTTTCCCTTTTTTTCAACAACATCCTTCACGTCATCGTCCTCGTACTTTTCAACATTTACTACTCTCTCTTCTAAATCATTTTGGTTTACCGTTTTCCATAAGTTTGACTTAGTTGTCGGATTCGAGAAGTATCGGTTCAAAATTTTCTTTCTCGACAATTTAAACAGTGTCAACCCGTATTTGACCCAGTGATGGCTAAGTTCTAAGAAATGCATTTCGAAGTCGGCTTTCTGGAGAACAAATTCTTCCGGGATAAGCTTGCAGTTGTCGTGACAGGTGCGAAGGACGTGGTAAGCTGCGGAGAGATGATAGCGAGCCTTGCCGAGCTGATTCAGGTACGTGAAGTAGTTGCCGAGGCGCGCAGTCCGCAGAGCCCAGTCCTGCGGCGTGCCCTCTTTCATATCCAACTGTCGTCTCAGAGCTGTGTGGTTATAAAGAGTATATTTCTCAGGCAAATTTAATTTATTATATAAAAAGGCTTGCATTTGAACATTGTTTGTGATAATCTTGTCAATCTTTTCTGGTTTTACTCTTTTGATTTTTGTAATTGGCTCTGTTGTGAACAAATCTTCCGCGTCATATAAATTTTCAGACAAAGATTTGCTTATTTTCTCGTAAACGTCTTCCATGCTTTCTAGTATTTCCTTGGCAAGAGACACTTCATCTAACTGTATGAGATAGTAGCATAATAGATTCTGGATTCTTAACGTTATAAAAAGACATTCCTCTCTGAGTGCGAATGGTTTTAATTTGTCGAAAGATTCTTGTAAGATATTTTTTTTATCAGATAAAGTGATGGGCATGGTTTTAACAGATAGCAGTGTTATATAGCCTTCCATGGCCAGAGACCTTACGTACTGATCGTGGTTCTCCTTCCCAAACATCACGAGCTCCTTATTTAATATCTGTATGTCTTTCTTCAGATTAAGCAGGCCTTCAGATAAATTCCTATTTTTTATGGTGTTTTTAATATTTTCAAATGTGGATGAAATTCGTCCTAATACTTCCATTGTTTTTCAATACTTTTAATTTATTTTACCACTATCACCGATTTTTTCTAGGAATAGTTCACAAGTCACTATACAATTTTACGCGTCAATTTATAAAAAAACGCTTCCTTCTGTCAAATAACAATTTTAAATCAGAATTCACGCGAAAATTATTATAACCAGTCAAGATTAAAAGTATCAAAACTTGGTGGTTTAAATCGGACATACGAGTATGTGTGTAGTTTAGTTTCTCAATAACTTAGACTTTACATAATTAGTTCACATTCGTTTAACACTATTTTTAGTTACAAGTGCCACAAGATATGCGCCTTGTAAAGACGCACTATATATAACATTTAATCCTCCTTACCCCCAATTACCTAATTAGATAAATATTCGCCAGTATTGCCATATCAAAACTTTGATTTACCACTGCTATGAACCCATTGCAGATTTATCTTAGTTTGACTATTGAAAACATTTTATTTCTTTACAAAAGTAACTAATTATTGTTTTCGAAGACATTTAGAGTGTTTTATATGAAGGAGCGAATAGGTACTTACGTAACCAGAGCTTTGACGGTAATGAAGGGAGCAATAAAACAACAAGAAAATCATAATGCAACGTATATTCTACATGACTCGGAGACGTATACTACTTTGGACTAATACGCTACAATAACACATTCACTTACATATTCAAACTTTCTACACAGTGATTTAAGTATCTGCTTTTTATTAGATAGAGGCTAGAAACGAACATTTCAAGAAAAAAAAAACTATGATATACACCAATTCAGTGTTAACAATCAAAAGTTTTTGAGAATAACAATAACAATAACAATATTATCTGTTTGTAATAAATAAAATGCACATAAATAAATGTTATAAAACTATTATTAAGAGTCACACGCGGCAGCCGTTAGAGATTCTGAAAATGTAAAGATTAGGATGAAAAACAAGATCATCATTCTCCAGAAAAATATCCTATGATAAGTGTCGCCTTCAGTAATCCAAATTCGCTTTTTATTTACTTTAGATAAATTCGCATCAATAATATTCAACGCAATCGCAACGCAGTAAACAAATCTAAAATGGGTACCCATTTCGCGAAAGCGCATTAATAGGGTTACGTACTTACGTGTTAATAAAATTGATGGCGCCGATTTTCTAAATCTACATTAAAACATTAGTTTCGTACTCGGTTTTCGTCAGTCTTGTCTCGGAAGGGAGTACATACTCCTTTTGTACGGCAGAGACTTTCTTGGAGAGGCACTATACGATCTCCCACTGGCGTAGAACTTTCCTTTTTGTGATATAACTTCGAGCCTCGCAGTCGCCTCCGCCCTGCCGTAATCGTTTTCCAGTGTCACTCTGTACAGTCCAACGTCTTCGCTGTTTACTTCATCGATTTCTAAAATCCTAAATATTTCGTCTTTCTCTTTAATCGTTATCCTAGAGGAGGGTGTTATAACAACTCCATCTTTGTCCCAAGTCGCCCAAGGCGCGGGAAGGCCCTTAGCCGCACATTGGAAGACGACCGTGTCACCTTCTTCTGCTACTTTGTTATAAGGATACGTATAGAATTTCGGTGCAATCTCGCGGGCAGGACTGCAAAGACTTCTTATGTCTGGACCTGGAGGATCAAATATTAGTTTAGTTTTCGTTTTATACTACGTGACGTTTAATGTGGTTCAATTCCGCAAACTTTATAGGGTCTATGAATTTATATTTAGACAAAAATAGGTCGTCCAAGTTAACTGTATACTGCCACTTAATGCTCGTCTAGACCCTGAACATGGTTACCTGCTTTTAGTGTCTTAGATTGTCTTTCTTACCGTTATGTTGTTTAGTCTTTCTATAGGTGTGGTACTAACCTGGTGTTCTAGCACGGGAGATGGATCGCGCAGGCGTGGACCGCGGTGTTGATACGGCCGACAATAACACCGGAGGCCGCCGTAGTCTTTGGCTCAAAGTATTCGGCTCACCAGCCGCTATATAAACAAATCTTTGATCACTGAAAAGCTTCATCAGGAATCACTTATGTAAATTTATAAGAACTTACGATAAACGACAAGACAAGCTTTGGAGGTTGCTTTCCCGAGATAATTATAGGCTTCGCAGGTATAAGTGCCTTCGTCGTCTGCAGTCACTTGCTTGATCTTCAACCTCGCAGTTCCAAGTTCATAGCTCATTTCGAATTCGGAGCATTCACGAATTATCTACAGATTTCAAAATAGAAAAATGGACAATGTTATTTAACAAAAAAGTAAATCCAAAAACAGACGTTGTTTTGTATATTCATAAAATATTTTAAGGTACTTGCGCAGTATATTTAATAAATTATTAAACCAAATCTTGATACGATCCCTCAAAGTTTTGTGATGCTCTCTGTTCAGATAGCGTAATGAGGATGACAGGTAATCTTTGGAGATGTCTGCATCGTGTGTGGTGTGTGGGACGTACCTTAGTGTAGTGATACCACTTGATGTCGGGCTCTGGCTCACCCGTCACCCGGCACTCGAACTCCACGGCGTCCCCGTCATGAGACAATAAATCAGTCAAATCCTTCTCAAAGCGTGGTATCACTTCTACTCGGCTAAAAGAAAAAAAAGTTTAAAACAAAGGTTTTCAAGCTGCTGTTAAAAGAGAAAAGAAAACAGAAGAAAACACAAAGAAGGGATAAACAAAGATATGTAATAAGTTTTAAAAATATAACTTACCCATAACGAACATTATGTGCCTCCTCTGTTGAACGGGGATCTACAAGGTAGAAGAAGAGGACAAGAAAAAGTATATTAGTATTAATCAAATATCTATGATTCACTTCAGGATAGTTATTTGCTTTACATATAAGCAGGGATACCTTTGGCCAAAATTTGTAACGATATAACTGCTTTGGCCTCCCCATGTACGTTTCTAGCGACGACCGAATACGCGCCCGTGTAGTCGAACTTCGCGTGCGGAATCTCGAAACGATACTCAGGGCCGTCGCCAACGCGCTTGAAGTGAGATCCGTCGCGGTAGTAGTCTGGCTGGAAATCATATGTAATACTAAAATTAGTGACGATTTCCTACAATTCATGTGCTTGCGTATATTTGTCTCGAAGATACAAGTTTTCGAATCGTTTGTTGATTTTTAACAACTTGCAACTCTATATTAAGTGCACTAAAGATTTCAAAAGTACGAGTCTATACCTTCAAAAAGTCCCTGAGCCAAAACACATCTGGTTTAGGGTCTCCTGTCACCTCGCACTCTATAATTATAGTGTCACCTTCATATGCTTCACTTGACCTTGGCTTTCTTATAAAAGTTGGTTCTCTTGAATATCTGCAATTAAAATAGACAATAGAATTGCACAATGTTATTATAAGGATTCTACATGGTTCTTTCTGAATATACATAATATACGCTATAACTTTATTTAGAAATCTTCCCATTATTTTGCGTAATAACTTTTGTTAGTTATGGCTTATGGGTTATATATATATATATGAATTGGCTAAAACAGAGTTCACTAACGTATACTTACGGTACATCTGAGCAGATAACGGTTGGAATGGCTTGTTTCCTCTCTCCCTCGCTTTCACCAAACACCTCAACCTTTCCTGAGGTAGATGCTTTGCCCACTTCATTCGACGCCGTGCACGTGTAGACACCTGCGTCCCTTTGTGTCACTGAGCCTACTGCTAGCTCTATCTGCCCGTCCCTGTCTAACGTCATCACAGCTCGTCTACTGGGGCGCAGTCTCACCCCGTCCCTGTACCACGTCACCCCCACAGACGGATATGCCTCAACCACTGCTGATATTCTTAACTCTTGACCTGTAACAATAATGTTTGCTTAAATAAGTTAAAACACCTTTATTTTTGTTTGTGTTTAATACGAGTAATTACTTGTAGTTGCTTGAAGCAATATCAGCGCAGCCTCAACTGAAGCAGGTTGCTTTGGATTGTTATTTCATCTAATGCTAAACAAAGAAGGTCCTCGCTGAGTACTGTTATTAACGAAAATATGCGTGTTATAATTTACCAATGCTCAGCTGATACAATGGCTCCAGTCCGCAACAAAATTCCGGAGCGATGTAAGCCCTGATGCCCTTGTCGACGACCAGGTTGCATCGACAGCTGATTGCGCCGCTGCCGTTCCTCGCTGTCGCCTCATATACACCGCCATCTTCCAGCGTTGTGGGTGCTATTTCCAATGTATGGAAATGCTCGTCCTGCGATTTCGTATGACGATCTGAAATAATAATAAAATAGATGTAATAATTGCGACGATGAGGAAACGATTGCATTTTAAAATAAAGTAGTGGAAGGGGAATTTTTGTTAACAAAAATTGCTTAGATTAAAGTATGTAAAAATAATATGTATCATTAGATGGTTTAAAAACTTACTGTCATCGATGACTTCTTCCCCGTTCTTGTACCAAGTGACGAGGGGCGGTGGTCTGCCAATGACTTGGCACGTCAGGCGGACAGGATACGTGGCCTGCACGCGCCTGTCACGTAGTCGCATTGTGAACTGCGGGGGACACTCTCCGCCATCTGATGATCTTTCCCTAAAACAGTTATTATTAATTAGTTAATGCAACTGATACACAACAACAGTCACTTTATTTACGGACTCTATAAATAAAATTCTATTATGCGCAAACACGTTCGGATCGATGTAAAACTGAATGTAGGTATTAGGAAATTAAAGGAAAGGAGAAAGGAATATGATATAGTATTTAGCCATCAACAAATAAGAGGATTAAAACTATGTACTTTTTCTTTTATTTTTATAAACTGTTTACGAGTAAGTACTCGTTACTTATAAACAATATTGTTATACATATAAAATGTTAGTGTACCTAATTGGCTGTTAAAACAAAAACTAAATATAATAATTACCTCTTAAGCTTCGTATCCGCCTCCCAAATACTCTTGTCAGTGACAACCGCGATTCTTGCGTATGTCGATGCTCTGCCGTGGACGTTTGTGGCTTCGCAACTGTACCTGGCTTCATCATTTATTTGAACATCGTGGATGGTCAGAGAACAGTTGTAATTATTTAAACATGTCTTTAATCTTTGGTCCTCCTCGTCAATTTCATGTCCATTCTTCATCCAAACGATTTCTGGTGTAGGTTTGCCCTTAAAACTGCATTTCAATGTAGCAGTCTCCGCCACCAAAACTTTCAACTGTCCCGGTAGCACTTCAACGAATTCGGGCCTATCACCTGCTAATCCAACGCCGACTGGGTTCGATGTTTGTACAGACTCACCCCAACCGTATCTGTTTCTTGGTGTCACTCTGAAATGGTATTCTTCTCCTTGCTTAAGATTATACGCTTCGAAGGAGTTAAGCGGAGTAATACCAAGTTCTGTCCAACGCGCTCCTCCTTCTTTACCCAGTAACCAACTCTCAATTTTGTATGCCGATACTGGAGCACCACCTTCAGGATCGACCTTCGGCCAAGCTAATGAGATCCAGTTATTTCCACCGTCCACTACACTCAGCTCTCCCGGGATGCGATTTGGTACAGCTACAAACAAATCTAATTATCGACACGGTAATGGCCTTAATACAAATTGATACATTGCCAAGTGATACTCTGAGCCTTAATTTTAGATAGCGTTTGATATAACAAAGGGACTACTGGGAAATCATGTGATAGTTTGAGTACTGCCAATGCTGAAAAATATAATACTAGAAGTTCAAAATAAGTGTCAGTTCTATTCCAGAAAGCGATAAAAATACTGTTTTGGAATTTATGATAAAATTTCATAACATTCTGGGTATTAATTAATATTGATAAATTTTATTTGTTGATCTTATAAGCAAACAAATATTACATTTTTAGGCTTAAGTATTATAGAGCAATTAATAATGGTAAATTATTCTCGATAAGAAGTTTTAACATACATATAATACATTTTATAAATAGATAAGATATTCCAAATAATTATTTTCTAAAAATCCAAAGTGTTATCTACTCGCTTAGTGAATAAGTGCATGTTTTAGTTAAAATACTTACATTTGTATCTGCGTTCATCTACAATTATCGTCGAGTCAGTAGGATAAGTCCAATCAGATATTAAATGATCAGACGAAGCGCGTTGTCGTACCTTTATACAAAATACATCTCATTTTCGATCACAATTTAATATCAAACATATAGATTTATTTCCAAGATAATTAAAAAAATACATACCACTACTGTAACAAAAGCTCTATCACATCCGTAGGCATTTCTTGCAAGAATGCAATAGGTCCCTGCATCAGATATGACTGACCTCTTTAATGTAAATTTCATATAGTCATCTGATTTCATTTTACATACCCGTGGACTATTCGTTATATCACGAATACCTTTCATTAGAGTCACTGTACAGTACAGAAAAGAAATTGTAAAAATTATATGTATATATTTTCTGTAAATAGATCATACAATTTGCAAATATTTACCTTTAGGCTTGGGTTCTCCTTGTACCCTGAAGGAAATATTTAAATCTTCACCGACTGAAATAAGTACGTCCTTCTGAGGTCGACCAATTATAACTGCAGGCTTGCCATCAATTTCATTTGGTTGGACAACAGTTATTGCTGCAGTCATATCAACATTTCCGTGCCTACTCCAAGCTCTACAGGTGTATATACCAGACTCTTTTTCAGTGACATCGGATAGTGCTAAAGTATATAATCCATGGTCTACAAAAGTTTGAGCATTTCTATAAATATCTGTAATAGCATGACCTTCACGCAACCATTCCACTCTTGTTGGAGAGCCTTTTATTTCCACTTGCAAACCGATTGTGCCTCCACTACTAACTTTATAGTCAGATAACACGTTTGTAAAATGAGGTCGACGAGCTTCTGATGATTGACGGTTTAATCGAGACGATTCTCCAGATGTAGAATGAAGACCAAAGCGAGGTTCTATACCTGTAAAAAAGCAACGTGGTTAACAGTACGCACATGGTTTTTGAATTGTAAATAAAGAAAAAAAAAGATTACCTGTGAATGTAACGATGTGACTTATTTGATCTGACCACATAGAATTTTCTGCTTTACATGTATATTTACCACTGTCTTCTGATGAAGGATTACTAATGGTCAATCTGCAAACTCCGTCAGCTAAGTAAAATGCTTCATATCTCTCGTTGATATTTATTAATCTGTCGTCTTTTAGCCAAGTAATAGTCGGAAGTGGTTGTCCTCGAATACGACATTCTAGCACCAGCTCGTTTTCAGCAAGATGGTACTTATCTAGTAAAAAGAAGAAATATTGGACAATAATTTATTATAGTTTGTCAATTATCAATAACTAGTAAATAAATTACCTCTTATTGATCTTGTAAAAGTCGGTGGTATGGGTGAAACTTCAAAACTGGGATATACCTTTAATATTGCCGAAGTAGTTACTGATCCGTTTTCCGTTTCAACGGTGCAACTATATTCGGCAGAATCACTCGGTTCAGCATTGAGTACTTCCATCGTCAACAAGCCATCGATTGATTTTGTTCTGTATTTTAATTTATTATCGAGTGGAACACCATTCTTATACCATACGATTCTTGGTTCTAATGTTGTTAAAACACTACAGGTGAGTTTGACTCTAGATCCTTCAACAGCTGTTCTATCAGTAAGATATGTGGAAAAAACAGGCTTCCTTTTTACATCACGCAAAAGTTTAGAGCGTTTTTCTGTTATGAAACTTCTTGTTTCATTCAACGCTTTTAACTTATGCGAGACATCTTTTCTCTCTACCAACTCATTACTTTGAATTTGGTCAGTATTGAACGGCGATGTATATTGAGTATTACGCACTAAAGTTTGAGCTTTGTAATATGGATAGTTTTGTGCTACATCTAATTCTGAATTAGAATGATCATTATTAAAAGTTCTCTCAACGTATCCTGGTGGCCTCAAAAACTCGTTTTCATAATTATTGCTTGTCCTATCTATAAACACAGCATTATTTTTCGTTACCGTGTCCGCACTTTTACCAGAATTTTGTACACTTACTGTCTCATCACTGTACAGCTTGTCATAACTTGTTATTTCGATTTTCTTAATTTTGCTCATATTTATTGGCTCCAAGGTAGAATCTTCTAGTTCTTTAGAAATAGTTCCATCATGTCCATCAAGTTGTCGACAGATGTTCCTATCAATTTGTAAATCAAATTCTTTACATATTTTTTGATTACTGCTTTCATTGGTATTATCAATATTATCATTTTCCTTGAAACATTTTGTATTTTGTATTTCCGCGATATTTAGGTTGTTGCTATTTAGTGTTTTTGAAGTTTGGGTTACTTCCTTTCGATATTTTGATACATCTTTCGTAGACAAATCTGTTTCCACGTCAATGTTTTCATTTTCAATTTTGTCTTTTCTTAAATTTTCCACGTTTTGTCTCTCTTGCACCAAAACGTCATCTAAAATTATCGATTCACTGGATTTACTTACTTTGCTGCTTTCATTAACATTCGGCGTTTCTTCGGAATCATCTTTAGATTTGTCTTTAAGTTCTTTTTCGGCCTCTAATGTATCTTTCCGTTGGAAAACATTAATATCTTTGACCTCACTAGTTTCGGATTCTTCATCTTTGTTTTCAGTAGTTAGTGGTGAATGCACTTGCTTTTTACTTTTGATATCTTTTTTCTTACGTCTAGGTTTTTCTTTGTCTGATGGATGTTTACTTGTTGTCGCTTCTTCATCTGTACATTTTTTCTCCTCCTCACTCTCAAGTTTTTTATATTGAATTTCGGTAATTTTATTTTCTACATTTATGGCTAAAACATTTGATTCCTCTTTGTTTTCCAGTTCTGTTTTATCATCAATTTTATGAGTGATAATATTGCCGCGCTTTTCTATCTCTGCTTTTTGATCGAGTACAGTTCCTTCTTCCTTACTTTGATTTATATAATTATTGGCTTTTAATTGATCATTGTTAGTAATAATCTGTTTTAAAGTACTATTTTGTGAGACAACGTCCTCTTCAGAAGACTTCTGAGCTTCTTCACGTAATAAATTTGTTGTTTGTAATTCTATTTTTATTTCTTGTTTAATAGGATTTTCACCATTCCCTGAATAAGGAACATCGGAAACTTCCTCAAAATCTAAAAGTTTCTTATTATTCTCTATTGATTCAAGTTCCGTTTTTTCTAGATTACATGTTTCTTTGTGTAAATTATCTTGATTTATCTGTCTATCATTATAAGTTGTGCTTTCTTTTTTATCTTCAATGTTATAATTTTTGTCAGCTATTGTGACCGTGTCTTTGTCCTCTCTAACTTTTGTTTCCAGATTTATTTTAGCATTGTTGTCATTAACTAAATTTCCGGCTTCTGTGTTTATATCAAGATTTGTGTTTAATTCTGTATTCTCCAGCAATGGAGCTTGTGAGTTAGAATCAATTTTCATTTCTATTGATTTAATTTTATCTCCTAGTATATTGTCCTCCCTTTTAACCTCAGTAGTCAATTTCTGAACGTTTACTTGTAAAGTTCCGTTATCTTGTTCCTTTTTGGAAATTTCCACATTTGTAATCGATTTACCATGTGTAATTTCGTTGTTATCACCCGTATTATTTTCATTTTCCTTGCAACTTCCAACAGTTTTTATTTGTTCAAGAGAATCTAGTTCATAGATAGCTTTGGGCGCTAATATAGGTTTCATTTCATTACTTCCTTCATCACGTGTTTTATCATTTTTGTTTACTACATTTTTATCGTCAACTATCTCGCTGTCAACAATCAAATCGCATTTATTAGCTGCAATATTGTTATTTTCAAATTTATCATTATTTTCTATATGTTTTTCATTTTCACTATCTACAATTATTTTATCTTTTTGAGCTCCATTATCTGTGGCAACAGCAACATTATTATCGGCACTGACAATTTTCTGTGAAATATCCTCACAGATTTTTTCTGCAACGAAGTCATGTCCTTTTTGTTCAGATTTTTCATCTACATCTGTCGAAATTTGTTGTTTATGAGGCTGTTGATCAGTTACTTTTGAAATATCTTCAATTGTTTCCTTAATAGTAACACATTTAGATTCATCTGTAGTTGTATCTTTTTTGAGTGTTTCGTTCGTGTCTATTATAGAATGACTTAAAGTGTAGTCAATAGTTTCATCAGACTTAGGCTCGCCTTCTGGTGTTTGATTTATTGTAAGCTTTTCATTTTCCAATGCTTTGAATTCTTTAGAATCTTGACTAGTACCATGACCTTTGGAATCTGTATCTATTACGGATTCAATTACTGCTTCATTGACATGGGCCTTATACAATATACCAGTGTCTATAATTTGCTGTAAGGGCGCTTCTAAAGGCTTGTGTGTTTCGAGGTTCAACGTTGATGCCTCTGTTATATATTCGGTCATAATCGTTTCTGGCAAAATTTCTAAAGCAAAGTCGACTGCATGGGTATTTATTGTAAAACTAGTGTTTTCGGATTTTTCTTTTTTCTCGATATCATCAGTTGAATTTATATTTTCAGAATGCACGTTAACATTTTCAATAATATGTGAAGAATATTGTGTTGAGTCTTTTTCTTCCTTGCTAAAATCGAAGCTTTCATGGCTATCTTTATCTGTGGAGGGTATTTGTTCAATTGTAACTCTTAATTCGTCTTTAACTATATCTTCTGTTTTATCAACTTCAATTAGACCTTGGATCGATTTAGAATCTTGGGACTGCAAAGCTTCAATATTTTGGACTTTTTCTCTTTCTTCAGATAATTCTAAATATTCCTTTATAGATGATGCCAGTGCACATATTTTTTGACCAATACTTTTAAAAATTGGTATTTTTTCTTTGACTTGTAAATTTGATTTACTTTCCATTTTGAGAAGATTCATTTCAAGGCACTCGACTACACATTTACTGTTAAGCATAACGTCTTCACCAAAATCTTTATCATGTTCATATATTAATGATTCAATTGTAGCTTTAAGATCCAGTAATATTATTTTGGTAAATGAAGCATCACCAGGTATCCTCGCAGTTTTATCAAAGTTTATGTAAAATTTTATATCCTCGAAATGATTTAAAACTTTACGTAATGATTTACTTAAAGTTTTCCATTTTTTATCACTTTTATTTGCAATAAAAGTAATACATTTCAATGCGTTCAAAATTAGTTCGGAAGATTTTCCGTAATTTTCATACATGTAATGTTTTTGTACACTTGACATTGCACTTCTCATATTTGAAATGGACCCGTAAACAGAATGGATTGCAGTTACTATGCTGTCCCTTTGTATGGTGTTTAGATTTACATACGTGTCTACTTCTTTTTCTAAAGCAAACACTTGATCTTCTATTTGATCTAAGTTTTGCATTATTTCAATGCCTTTTTCAATAAGGTTTTCAGAATTATCTGCAAAACTAGATTGTAATGATTTGATAACAAGCTTCAATTCATTGACATACGTGTACAATCTATTAAATTGTCCTTCATCATCAGATTTCATACTTAATGCTGATTCCAAGAGATGAATCGTTTCTTCAGTATCATTGGAACATGAAGTAATAATGTTACCTAATTTCTCTTTATGTCCTGTGGTTTGAACTACTTGGAATTCATGCATTTCGCACATGTTAGATACTAGAACCTGCAAAGTTTCACAAGCTTCTTTAACAAGTTCGGGAGGACTTTCTTCATTTATCTGTAGTTGAACGCTCCTGACGCTGCACTCTAAATCTTGAAGACTTTCATTAAGAGTATCATTAAGGGATTCACTATAGTCCCTTTTCAATGCAATTATTACAGCTTGAATTTCATCCAGAGTATTTTGCAAATTTTCTATATCATCAGCTGTCCTGGAAGTCGCTAGTGTATCGATTTTATCACATACTTCCTTAAGCAATGATTTAAGATTGTGTAATGTATTTTGTGTTTCACCATCATCTGAAACATAATATTATACTTATAAATATTATAAGTAATTTATATAGTGCATAAATATTTTAATCTACGAACAAATAACTAACAATTACTTAGGACGACCTTTTTCGAATAAAAAAAAGTCCCGTCCGCAGTGGGTCAAGTACGAATATTTTGTGACAACCGCCTTCGTATCGTCATCGTCAATGTCGTCAAAATTAAATTGAGGTTTTGGTGTACTTTACGCCCGATATGCTCCACAAATTTTAAAACAAATTTTGAAGATGATGATAAAAATATATTATGTAACATGACGTACCAAAATCAGTTTCATCTTCTTTCACTTCGTATCTAATACCATCCTTAACGTCTCCTTCCTCTTTTTGTGCTACACCTTCGGTTACGGTGTCTAGATTAATGGCATTTTCACTTTCAACCATTGCTTGTTTAACATCGTCTGTTTTTTCAATGACTTGTGCTGACGTGATGAGTGCTTTAAGGTCAGAAGACAAACTAGTCAGATTACTCTGTACCTGTTGCATATTAATACCGTCGAATTGTGAAGACAGTTCTTCAGCTTTTTCGTTAATTTCCGTTATTACAACCGACAAAGCTTGCTGAAGTTCAAATGCCAGAGATACATCTGCTTCGCTTAGATTTTCCTTTAGCGTCTCTTCGGATAAATGGATTTCTGGAGATAACATAATAGCCGAAATATTTTCCTTGAGCTCTGTTGCTAACTTCACTGCTTTTTCGGCATCGACTACATTTGATGAGATCGCTATATCCTTGATAACTTCTAGGGTATCTTTAGACACGAACTCATCGATGTGATCCATCATTTCACCTGTAATATGAAAAGAGAATATGAAAATAAACAAAATCGTAAAATGTATCATTTTGAATTTCATATATTGTAACTAATACGTACCGATAGTAACCACTTCTTCCTCTTTTTGTGCTACACCTTCGGTTACGGTGTCTAGATTAATGGCATTTTCACTTTCAACCACTGCTTGTTTAACATCGTCTGTTTTTTCAATGACTTGTGCTGACGTGATGAGTGCTTTAAGGTCAGAAGACAAACTAGTCAGATTACTCTGTACCTGTTGCATATTAATACCGTCGAATTGTGAAGACAGTTCTTCAGCTTTTTCGTTAATTTCCGTTATTACAACCGACAAAGCTTGCTGAAGTTCAAATGCCAGAGATACATCTGCTTCGCTTAGATTTTCCTTTAGCGTCTCTTCGGATAAATGGATTTCTGGTGATAACATAATAGCCGAAATATTTTCCCTGAGCTCTGTTGCTAACTTCACTGCTTTTTCGGCATCTACTACGTTTGATGAGATCGATATATCCTTGATAACTTCTAGGGTATCTTTAGACACGAACTC